CTTCCTCCATTTTACTGTGGAGGCCCCGACGGGCTTCACCCTCCTCCATTTTACTGTCAGAGGCCCCGACGCGGTTCGCTGCTTCCTCCATTTTACTGTCAGGAGCCCCAAGATGCCAGGGGCCGAGTTCCCTCATGAGTAAAACTGCAGCTGGGGCCCCAGCCTCTCTAGAGGGCACGCACTCCTCCCCTCCTTATACTCCTTCCTTCTTATACTCTTTCTCCCTCACACTTATCCCCTCCTCTCCCCTGAACTGTGGCTGAACCAGCTTTACTAGCCTCCCACCAGGCAAAGACCCTCCACAACCATGCCGTCCTACCTCTCAAAGCTTCTTCGGCAAAATGACTGCCTGAGTGAGAGGAAAGCCCGTCTCAACCAGACTCCTTGCTGATTGGCTGAATGACGTGCGCATGTGCGTTTGGTGTTGCGCATGGGCGCTGGTGTACATGGATGCCCTGTGTGTGTGGCACTTTGGCCCAGTAATTACTAGCTGAAAAGTTTTTCCGGGGGTTTAGCTCAGTGGCAGCGCACTTAAGCACAAGCCCCTGGGTTTGATCCTCAGCTCAAAAAAAAAAAAAAAAAAAAAAAAATTCTGGCTGGAAGTCGGCAGTGGAGCGTGCCACTCAGGAGGCAGAGCCAGGTAGATCTCTGTGAGTTTGAGGCCAGCCTTGTCTACCAAGTGAGTTCCAGGACAGGCACCAAAACTATACAGAAAAACCCTGTCTCGAAAAACCACAAAAAGAAAAAAATTTTGTTTTTTTTTCTTCTGATTTCCCCTTCATAATCCTCCCTCGAATTGCTGAGCTGTTGGGAGATTTGAGGCTTCTTGCTTTTCAGTTTATGCTTTCCAGTTTATTAACTTTATAGTAGGGTTGCCCTCGCAGAGGAACAGGGTTTAATTCCCAGAACAAAAATTTTCTTTTGTTGTTGTTGTGGTTCGTTTGCTTTTTATTTTTTTTTTTCTTGGCCCCAGGTACTTGTATAAACAGAGATACATACATATACATAAATAAAACTAAAAATAAAATATTTTTTACTACTTTAAACTACAAGGAAATGAGTCAAATACAAAAAATGAACACCCCTCCTTTGTGAACTAGCACTTTGCCAGTATTCACTGAGATACTTATGTACTCTCTAACACTTCTCTAGATCTTCCACACTGCACCTGTCTCACCCATGCTTATCTGTTAGTCCTCATTCATAAGAAGGCTTCTCAAGAGGCCTATCTCTGTTGATTCCTAATAAAGCTCCCCAAGAGGCCTATCCTTCTCCAGAAGAAGCCTCCTGTAGCTTTTTGTTGGGACTACTGGTCAGCTCCCTTTCACCAGCTATTCCCAAATAACCATGCAGAGATTTCTTATTAATTATGAAGGCTCCACCAGTAGATTAGGCTTTTTAGCTACCTCTTATAACTTAAAATAACCCATTTTTAGCTGGGCAGTGATGGTGCATGCCTTTAATCCCAGCACTCGGGAGGCAGAGCCAGGTGGATCTTTGTGAGTTGGAGGCCAGCCTGGACTACCGAGTGAGTTCCAGGAAAGGCGCAAAAGCTACACAGAGAAACCCTGTCTCGAAAAACCAAAATAAATAAATAAATAAATAACCCATTTCTACTAATCTCTTTGCTGCTGTGAGGCTCAATTACCTCATCTATGTATTTTCCATGCTGCTTCTTCTGCATCTGTCTGGCAACTCCTGAGACTCTGACCTTCTTCTTCCCAGGGTCCTCCTAGTCTGCCTCTCCTGTCCAATCCTGCCTATCTATAGGCCAGTCAGCTCTTTATTAACCAATGACAGTAATATATTCACAGTGCACAAAGATTGTTCCACAGCATTTCCCCCTTTTTATCTAATTAAAAAGGAAAGTTTTAACTTTAACATAGTGAAATTATATACAACAAAAACAATTATCATGTAAGAATAACAGTTACAATGTCCACTATATTTGTATTTGGCAAAATTAGAGAAAATATTCTATTATTTATCCTATCTTTGCAAGTCTAAAGTTTTATATCTAATTTACCTTTTATCATAAACAAGGAAAACTTTAAGTATAATTATTTAGTCTTTAACTCCACCAAAGACTCCAGAAGTATAGAATGTTACCTAGCAACAGGGATATTTGGCTGCCTGGACATTCACCCAAAGTTCTTCTGCAACATTGGGGTATCCAACTTTGGCCTGCAGGCCAATATATCTGACAGACATTTTTAAGAAGCAGGGATTTTTGAAAGACCATACTACCTTGTCTTGGCAAAGTTTGGCAGTCACTTTCTTTTGCATCCTGCTGGTCGGGTTGGATAGTATATTGTCAGCAATTGAGGCAAGGGCAGTTTCTTTGCCCACATGGCTAGCTTTTGCCATAAATAAAGCAAATTCCATATGGATTTTCTTTGATGCCCATTATCTTCTCTGAAGTAGATTGGTGTTGCCAGGAGCAGATATGTCTCACTGTCATGAAAAGCCTTACGTTATTAAACATACTAAATGTCATAATCCATAGGTCTGCCCTGGGTGGCAGTTCAGGCTGCTCAGTTCAATATGACCCCCAGATATCAACATGGTCTATGGCAGCAGCCCAAACAGGGGGCATCTGTATGGCCCTCGGTAGCAACACAGGACACAGACATCAATGTAGACCCCAGCTGCAATAGGGCCATGAATCCAGACATGGCCCTAGACAGCAGCATAGGCCCAGACATCAAATGGCCCCAGGTGGCAGCATAGTCCACCCATATCATCCTGTTCCTCGAAACTGGCCTTTTCTCTTCCTCTTCTCTCTACAGAGCATGAACCACTCTGTTTCTCCTTCTCTTCCATTTCTCCACCACATACCAATTCATCATAATGGCACCTGCCCACCTGAAGCATTTCACACTAGGTGTGCCTGTCAATATAGTCAAAGCTAGTTCACCTGATAGATGCTTGGTTTCAATGCTTGTTTTTATGTTTTAAAACATGGTGCTTGACCAGCATACAGGAGACAGTTGTATAGCTTGGTCTATGTAAGTGGCCCCTGGCAGTGGGATCAGGATCTATCCCTGGTGCATAAGCTGGCTTTTTGGAGCTACTTATGGTGGGACACCTTGCATAGTCTTTATGCACAGAAGGAGGGGCCAGGACTTGCCTCAACTGAATGTACCAGGCTTTGCTGACTCCTTATGGGAGACCTTACCTTTTCAGAGGAGGGAATGGGGGGGGTGGATTGGGAGGGAAGGCTGGGGGGGAGCGGGAGGATAGATAATAGGGGGATCTCCAGTTGGTATGTAAAATGAATAAAATTTTCTTAATAAAAAGATTTTTGAGTGTTAAAAGTTGACTTTATTGTTTTATAATTTTCTGTGTACTGATTCAATTTTTTAAACCTTCTTTTGATGAATTTTAGATTTTTACTTTGTTCTGATGACAAATAGCATTCCCCTTTTCAAAATTCTTAAGTATTCCTTAGAATGTTTCATTATACACCATTATATTAGTTACTATTCTGATTCTGTAATAAAATACCATGCTCAAAAGCAACTTATAGGAGAAAGAATTTATTTGGGTTGATGTTTTTTAGAGGGACATGAATATCATGGTGGGGAGAGACATTACCAATAAGCAGACATGGTAGCAGGAGCAAACACTTTTCAACCACAACACAAAGTATAGAGTAAACAGAAATTAAGTAAGACTATAAAGGCAAAGCCTGCCTCCTATAACACACTTCCTCCAACAAGGCACCACTTTCTATACTTTCTAAAGCTTCCCCAGCAGCATCACCAACTGGAAACTGAGTGTTCAAACACAAGAGGCTATGGGTGGGTGGTATACATTTCTCATTCAAGCTATCAAATTCTAATCCCTGGCCCCCAAAGGACTCATGGCTATATCATAATAGAAAAGTCCTACTAAAATCATCCCCATAATCTTTTACAGTTTTCAACACTTCATACCCAGTCTTGTTTTGATACTCAAAGTAATTTATGAATTGTAGACCTCTGTAAATCCAATAACGGACTATGTGCTTCCAATACATAATGACATAAAACATGCATTTCCATTCCAAAGTAGAGGCAGTATTTTTTTTTTAATTATGACTCGTTATTTTCTAGCAGCAGAAAATGCCTTAGGCTCTCTTTTACAAGTTGGCAGCTTAGCTAGGTTGTCTTGCTCTAGGGATATCCTGTGCTTTATTTCAGTTCAAAGCAAGCCTCTTCTTAATGACACTGATTTCCCTAACAATTGCAACTTCTCTTCCAACACCTGCCTCAGCTTTAACAGTAAGATTCCTATTGGCTTCTTTTTGCTTCCCCACTGTACATTTTGTACTTCTTTCTGTCCCACTTGCTCTTATGGATGTGAATGAACCTTATAAATAGTGACTAAGCCCCACACTCAACAGTACACAGTGTCAAAATTTCCTCTACAAAAGAAATTAGTCCATTGCTTTTTAACTTAACCTCAGGCAGCTTCTCAGGACTTTAGCAGAACACAGGCACATTCTTTGCCAAAATATCACAGGGCTGGCCTCTAGCCCAATTGATGTTAAAGTACTTGTTTCCCTATGAAACCTCTAGAGCTGGTACTTTATGGTCCAGGTTGTTTTCAGCACTGCTGTCTTCTAAGCTTCTGTTAGAATGATCTATTAAGCTCTGCTTATAGTTCTTAACTGCAGTTCTTTTCTGAAATTCTAAAGCCTTTCACATTCCTCCCCAAAATAACATGGTGGGCTTCTTCACAGAAAAAAAGCACACATCCTGGTCCCAACTGTTGTATTGGTAAATTTTTCTGTTGCTATGATAAAAACCATGACCAAAAGCAACTTACAGAAGAAATACTCTAAATTGGCTTATGTTTCCAGAGGGAAAAGTGTCCATTTTGGCTGGAAAATGCACAACAGCAAGTGGTAGGTATAGCTGTGGGAACACGTCCACTTCCTGCATAAAGTAGAGAGTCAACAGGAAGTGCGGCAATACTGTAAACATTCAAATCTATCTGCTAGCAATATGCTTCCCCCAACAAGGCTCCACCTCCCAAAGTTCTGATGCCCAGTGACTTCTGGGGAAATAACTAATTGTATTTATGTGAACAATTTTCTAAGAATTTGGGGGTATTTCACATGGAGAATTACTTGCCTGCCTCGATTTTGTGATTATATATGGCAAATTAGTTTGCATTTCTGTGACATTTATATAGAGCATTTGTCCTTTTGTATGTAGTCTTTCTAAACTGGTTTGTATTTCTCTATTCATTTTACAGACACGTTTTTTGACTGAAAAGGCCTTTGAAGCCTTGTCGAAACTTATTAACTCAAAAGACACGAACCTTCATTCATCTCAATGTGATTTTAGATGGGTAATAGTTTAGGTATAGTGAGAACACCTTTTGGAAAATGAATTTTTGACAAGAAGAAAACAAAATGAAAGAAGAAACAATTAGACTG